TTGGTTTTTTGAGACAGGGTCTCACTATGTAGTTGAGACTGACCTGGAACTCACTCTGTAGCCCAGGCTGGTCTCGAACTCACAGCGATCCTCCTGCATCAGCCTCCCGAGTGCTGGGATTACAGGCTTGCGCCACCATGCCTGGCTCCCATGCCATTTTTAATCATATTCTTTTTGTTGTTCTTTGAAACAGGATCTTGGTAAGTTGTCCTGGCTGGGCTCAAACATTTTTTTTTCTGTACCGGGGATTGAACTCCAGTCCTTGCGCTTGTGAGGCAGGCAGCGGAACCACTGAGCTAATTTCCTGGCCCTCAAACTTTTGACCCTTGTGCCTTAACTTCCCAGAGTGCTGGGATAGCAGGTGTGTTATCAGGCACATCTGGCTGAATTTAGGTTTATATTTTGTTTTGTTTTTTGTAATTTCAAGCCACGCATAGTGGTACATGCTTGTAATCCCAGCATTGAGGGAGGCTGAAGTGGGAGGATCGCAATTTCAAGTCTTGCCTAGGCAACTTAGTGAAACCCTGTCTCAGAATTAAAAAGGGCTGGAGATGGGCTCAGTGGCAGTTCAGTAGAGCACCCTGGGTTCAATCCATAGCACTGTAACAAAGAAAAATTTTAAAAAAATTTAAATTGTACTTTTAGTCAGGCATGGTGGCACACACCCATAATCCCAGCACTCAGGAGGCTGAGGCAGGAGGATCACCACAAGTTAGAGACCAGGCTGGGCTGCATAATGAGTTCAAGGCCAGCCTGAACTACTTAGACCCTGGTTTAAAAAACTAAAAAGAAAAAAATAATAACTTTAGTGTTCCATTTGGGTCAAAGAACCAAGCTCTTGGGGAGTATTTCTGCTCCTTCAGAATTGAGAAATGTTTTCCGTGGAGTGTAGCAGACTTCAGAGCCCATCCAAGGAGAATGAAGGGAGGAGTGGTAGCAGAGAAGCTCGCTGCCTTCTCCATGTTTCCACAGCTGGAACATTCTGAATCTAAGCTCAGCCTGATGCTGGAGGTTTTGGGAAGGACACACATAGGAGTTATTCAGCGCCAGAACAAGCTAGAGCGGGGTGACCAGCCTGAAGCATCTCCCAGGGTCCCCTTGGCAATCACACGCTCCTTGGTCACGTCCCTGACCTCCCCATGCATCTGAATTTCCTACACCTTTATTTTAAGAATACAAAGGCCAGGACCCCCTCTGAGCACAGATGAGTGAGAATCAAGGCTGGGAGACATAACTTGGACGCAAGTTCCCCAAGTGGTTTGAATTGTACTTAGAGTTAAATCCTTGTCTCGTGGAAATCTCCAAGAATCTCAGTTCCTGGGGCCTAAATATTTTGGGTATGTCACTTCACAGGACAGCATCGGGCAGCTGGAGAATGACCTCAGGAGCACCAAGAGCGAGATGGCACGCCACCTTCGGGAGTACCAGGACCTGCTCAACGTCAAAATGGCGCTGGACATCGAGATCGCCGCCTACAGGTACTTCCGCGGGCTTGCTCCCTGGGGTGGGCCTCCCAGCTAAGTTACCTTCTCTGTCCCTCTACTCAGATATATCCCAGCTTCGCCTCATGAGCCCTGGAACATTCTAGAAACCTCTAGAGGCCAAAACAAAAACCCACCAGACTCTTATTTCAAATTGGGGTTTATACACTTAGCAAGTCATGAAAGGTAAAGTTTCCCACTGGATTCCTAAAGGCAGGAAGAAAAGTAACTATAGGAGCGAGTTTTGGATGACTGCCATGTGCAGATAGTTCATGAAACTGTTCTAGGTCTGTTCTTTGGGGGTTTTTTGTGTTTTGTTTTTTGAGACAGGGTCTCACTATGGAGTTGAGACTGACCTGGAACTCACTATGTAGCCCAGACTGGTCTCGAACTCACAGTGATCCTCCTGCCTCAGCCTCTTGAGTGCTGGGATTACAAGGGTGCGCTACTACGCCTGGCGTGTCCTAGGTCTTGAGTCAGCCCCAGAGGATATGACTTGCTCGGGGTCACAGGGGCAGGGCTCAGATTCATCCTCATGACTACAGAATAAAGCTCCAAGATTTAATAGTGTCTTGAATGTCTGATTAGTTGAAAAAGAATGATAAAAACTACGGAGTTACAAGAAACAGGGTACTGGGACCACGCCTTTACGGTACTGGTTAGGGCAGGCTGGGAAAAGTCTGGTGTCTGAGATAGCGTCACTCACTGGCTTTTCTTACTGCTGGCACTGTTCCCTTTGTAGCTTTACACATTGAGAAATACAAATCCTACATTGGCTGAATTAGGCATTTCCTCTCTCCTACGTGGACTTCTCGCTGTTTTATTCCTGTTGCAGTTAAGGTGTTAATTTTTAGAATTACTTCTCCCTAAAGCTTTGCAGACTCTTAATTGCCAAAAATGAGTGTGATGTGGCAAAGGAGGTTGTAGGTTTTGCTTCAGGAGCAAACTGGTGAGAAGGGTAGGCTTCCCTTTGACATTGCTTTAAATGTAGCAGGTGCTGAAGGTGTGTGTGTGTTTGCAGGCACACATGCATGCTAATCTCCAACTCTTTGAGCCTTGGGACGTGATGTTCTTGAGCTTAGTCTCACGAAAGAATTGCAGTATCCTTTGGAGTACCTCTAAAATGACCGGGGGCTGGACGGTTACATTCTTTAAAAAAAAAAAAGTCAAGTTGACTCCCTGAGAGTTTGTCTCTGTTGGATTTACAGGAAGCTGCTGGAAGGTGAAGAGACGCGATTCAGCACCAGTGGATTAAGCATTTCAGGGCTAAATCCACTTCCCAACCCAAGTTATCTGCTCCCTTCTAGAGTCCTCAGCTCTACCACCTCCAAAGTCTCGTCTACTGCGCTGTCACTTAAGAAAGAGGAGGAGGAGGAAGAGGCTTCTAAGGCAGCCTCTAAAAAAACCTCCCAGCTAGGAGAAAGTTTTGAAGAAATATCGGAGGAGACAGTAATACCTACTAAGAAAGCCGAGAAGTCAAATATAGGAGAAAGCACCATTGCAAACCAAAAAATATAATTCTTTGCTTTAAAAAGTTAGTGCTTAAGAGAGAATAATATGCAGTTGACTTGTTAATCAGCCTATTCCTGAACCTTAACACCTGTCACCACTAGATAGTGTCTCCAGCCTTCAGTCCCATAGCTAGCACTGAACACGTTCTCTGTTAGAGCACCAGCCCTTAGATTGGAATTCCCCGCAGTCCTGGAGCGTCATGGAGGAGCCATCTGAGTACACAGCTTTCTCTCCTCAGGCTCAGACTGCACAGCGGCAGGTGACTCAGGTGCAGAGGGAGTACGAGCTGAGGTGCTAAATCGGCAGTTGCCGTCATCTGCTGTGAGCCGGAGTGAAAACCTGTTTATACTCTCTACCCAGCCAGTACCCAGCTGTATAATCTTACTCTAGATGCTTATGACATAAACCACTGCCAACAGTGAGCCAGTGCTCCACGCTGACTGTACTCTGGTAGAAAGCATAAGTGACAGGTGTTTGTTTAATGGACATTTTGCTTTCCACCCCCTCTGACTCCATATATCCTTTTTCCACCCAGGAAAAAAAGAGACTAGTGTAGTATTCTTCCCTTTTAAACATATTTAGGTTCTTTCCCGAAGAAATCAGCCCTTTTGCTCTCTGCTCACTGGGAGAAATTAGGTGCATGCTGACTGCCCCCCGTGGCCATAGTGGCGTAGCCCTGCCCGTCTGACGCCCATTCACTTCTGTAGCTTTGAAAACTTGACACTGATGAATTTTAAGGGTTTTCCCCAACAAATAAAATAATGAAAAGAATCCTTAGATTTTTAGGCTTTCTGCTTATTCAAATCCATTTAGGTAGGAGGAAAAAAACTGTTAAGAACATAGCCTTTCACCTTAACTTTAGAAGCACAGTGGCTCTTATCCCGAACTTTAATGAAGCTGTCCTTAGTGTAAGTTAGAAACGGTGAGTATCTCTCTGGACAGAAAAGGCCAAGGTGTCGTGTGTGTCAGTCCCCGCGTGGTGGTATAGGGTTAGCTCTCCGTGCCTCACCCTTAGAATCACGTCGTCCCCTCCCATAGGCTAGGCCTGCAGGGGCCTCACTTTTACCCTTCTATGCCTTTCAAGAGTGCCAAGTGTCAGATATTTTATCTCCAGGACACAATGCTGCTGCCCAAAAGTGAAACCATTTCTCGTCAATCAATACCACCAGCAAATACAGAAAATAAATATTTCTCTTTCCTACAAGAGTCTTTCCCAATAGTGTCCCTATGGCAGCAGTGGGCGGCAGCCCCAGAACGGTGTGCTTGTGTCCCTTCCCGCTCTCTGGGGAGTCACTGGGAGAGTTTGCCCCCGTCTGCCCACCTGTGTCGCATCCGCCTTGCCTGCCTGCCTGGGTGCCAAGTTTCAGCAGGATCTGCTCTCTGTCAGAGCTCACTGCTGCCAGGGATAAAGAGCTGCCCTGCCCCTGTCCCTGTCCCGCCTCTTCATTATGAACTCCGTGGTGACAAGGACATGATGCTTTCACAGGACTTTCTTACCCTGGCACATGCTTCAGTAGTTCAAGGAACTCCAAAGACACTTCACTCTTCCCTGCCCTTACCCAGTCCCTGTCTTCAGCCCTTACACTCATTGTGACATTAGCAAAATAAGAAATTAAAAGTCACACAAATCTCACCAACTTAATTGTGTCCTGTGGTTTCTGCTCTGTCCCCGAGGGAAGTGCCCCTTTGGGTGCCACCTGGCTTGAATTTGCATTTCCTGTTTTCAGTGAGTCCCCTTTAATTACCATGAAGTCATTGGCAAAAGACCTCAGAGCACCTTGATGTTCAGACTCAGAAGGTAGAGGGGAAGGGAAGTAAAGTGCGTGACATCAGCAGGACAAAAATGAGATGAGACGGTGGGAAACCAGCCCGCCACGCTGATGAATCAGCCCAAAGACAGGACCGTTAGATAACGAGAAGCTCTGCATCCTAAAATCTGCAACTGTTAATAATAGCTATACTTTATTCAGTACTGTTTCCTGCCTGGGTCAGACACGGTACCAGGCACAGGTAACAGCATTTCCTTATTTGAGCCTCAAACCCACACACACGTTAGGTATAGTATTTGTGTGGCCACTTTATATCGGCAAGGTGAGCCCCTGTCTGAAGTCACAGTGGAGAGCTGGGCTTTGGGCCTTGGTCTTCCATCAGTCTGCTTGCTGCTGCTTTCTCACCGGGACCCACAGTTACTCCACCTGGAGCCCTGGAACACCAGGTGCCGGGCAGTCCACTGCCTGTGCTCCTGCCTTCCCATGAGGCACCGAGGTGTCTGAAGCTCAAAACTGGGCTCTGGGCCCATCCAACCACACGTTGCCCCTACCCTGCTACCAAATAGGTAGAACTGATTGTTGTTTGTGAGGGTGGGGCGGGGTCCCTTATAATTTTGGAAAGGAATTCTGTAGGGTCCTATCAACCGGTCTGGAAATGGTGGGATAGATGGTTCTTCAAGAAGTGATAAACCTTTGAGAGGTAAATTCATTTTTACAGCCTTCGCTAAAGAGGAACAATATTTGAGCAATTACCTAGAAGCCAAAATCCAAATCTATCTCCAGAGTTAATACCAGTCACAAGTGATCATGATGCCAAATTTCTAGAGCTTACCTGTGTCAGGAAAGAAGAGAGTGCCGCCACGCGTGGCTGTAAAGGCAAGAAGAGAGAGTTTTAAAATATATCCAGAAGCCCACTGGAACAGAGGCAGGCTGGGGCTGCTGCCAGGCCGGAGAGAGCAGGGGGGAGGACTATTCAGTAGGCGTGGGGTTTCATTTTGGAGTGAAGGTATTGTTTTGGAATGAGAAGGAGGCTCTGTACAACACTGCAAATGTCCTGAATCATTCACTTAAAAATGAATGCTATATTATGTAAACGTCACCTCAATTTTTAAAGCCCCATCGGTCAGGAATTGATGAATTATCAGAAGTCTCTTGCACCTTCTGCTGCAGCTGAGGCCATTGTGTGTCAGCTACTCCGAGTTCACCCTTGGGAAGGGATTTCCTTTAGGACAACAGAAGCCAGATCTCCTAGAGTATCAGTTTCAAATCAGTGCTGAAGAAAAAGCCAGAAATCACCTGGGTATAAAAGAAAAAAGAGGGCCGGTCCTGAGTTCGATCCCAGTACAAGAAAGAGAGAGAGAGAGAGGGAGAGAGAAAGAGAAACAGGAATGAAGAAAGGCAGGCAGGCAGGCAGGCTGGAAAAGTTGCTGTCTGAACACGCCTCGCTGCTTTCAGCTGTTATTTTATTGTCTCATCACACATCTCCAAATTCCTGAAAAATATCTAGCTTGTAAGAGCGTACTTTCCCCTTAGAATCAAATGGAGTAAACACAGTAATTTAAAACGGAAATAACAGGGAGGGGGCTTTACAAGCCCCTCAAAACAGCACTCATGTATGTTTTTCTTTATAGACCATACAATATTTGCTTTGTGACATTTTTCCATTTAAAGTACGGGCTAGGCTGATGTCATTTCATTGTGCACTTGGTAATTTTGAAAGATCTCCCGTGAAGAGGCCCTCGCAGACGGGGTGGGTGCAGCAGGGCTGCCTTCATCACACTGCTGCATCTTGAAGGTCGAAGAGAACGATGACTACACAGACCGAAGGGCTCCCCTCGTCTTCCACTGCTCCCCTAAAAGACAATTTGAGTGCCCCATGTTTTATGATGAGATGTCACAAGCGTACTCGGTGGGGGTGGGACCGGCTAGATTTGTAGTCTTTCTTACAAGCACATGCACAGTGGGATTATAATAAAGCAGAAGAAAGCACACGGCAGAGTTTTAAAGATTTATGCTTCTGCAATGCCTCAGTGACTTTTTGTAGCTTGGACTACAAAGAAAAATGAAGATTAATCCTGAAGGGCTCTCAGGGTTTCCTTCCCCATTGATTCACAGCCTTGGGTCCCAGATGGCTGCTCTCTCCCCTGATGAGACAGGTGGTCCCTGCTCGGGGTCCTGCACAATTCATTCCAGCTCTCCCTCCACCCTTCGGGTTACAGAATGCTCGGCAGAGTGTAACCAAAATCATTTGTGTAAGGCTGGAGTTGGGAATACAATTAGTAACGGGTTTTAGTCAACTGCTGATTGTCCCACATGGCAAAAAAAGCATCATTCTTAGAAATGTTTTTTTTAAAAAACACAGGGGATTTAGCTCAGTGGTTCTGGCACCTGCCTGGCAAGCGCAGGGACCCAAGTTCGATCCCCAGTACCGAAAAAAAACCCCAAAAAACTACAGGGTGTCTCATTGTGTTGCCCAGCTGCTTCTGAGCCCCTAGGTTCAAGTAATCCTCCTGCCTCAGCCTCTCAAGTGGCTGGGATGACAGGCACCTGAAATGCTTATTAAAACAAACAAATTATCTGCTATGCCATAAAGTATGAATAAAAGCAAGGTATAACATTCATCTTTGATCTCCTAGTGTAAGGATTCATATAGGATATAAAAAATTCCCAATGTCCTCCAGGGTTAAACAATCCTTTATCTTAAACCAGAACTTAGCTCAATAATAAGGATTCTTCAGCAACTCAAACTGTCCATGGAATAATCTAGACTAAAGTAGAGGCAGAAGAGCCAATACTAGAATTAGGGAGAAAGCAGAATCCCGTAATACTAATCATCAAGATCACACACACACACACACACACACACACACACACACACACACGAGGTCATTGATCAATACTGGCTTAACACTGAGAAGATACACGGGAAGACAGGGAAAAGGTGATTCAACCTCAATCTCATCCCCTTTGTCACTCAAAAGGAACTAACAAAGCAAAGCACTTTGGGAAGTGACTACTTAAGGACCATATGTGGACTGACAGATTATGCCAGGCATAGTTCTGAGTTCTTCACAGACCAGTATTTGCTTAGTTCTTGTGAGGAGCTCCTGTTATTTTCTGTGCTGGGGACTGAATCCAGAGTCTTTGCGCTGAGCTACATCCCCAGCCCTTGATTTATTAAGACATGTTCTTGCCAGGCTGCCAAATTGCCTAGGCTGAGCTCAAACCTGTGATCCTCCTGCCTCAGCCTACCAGAGTGCTGGGATTATAAGCATGCACCACCCCCCCCAGCTTCATGATGACCTTGTGAGGTAGGTACCATTGCCCCCTTTTATAGGTAAGAAAAACTGAAGTTTAGAGAAATTACAGAATGTGTCTAAGATCATATAGTTTATAGGCAGCGAATTTGGGATTCATAGCTATGCAGCATGGTGCCATAATTCATGCCTTTAGCTGTTACGTGACTATGCCTTTATGTCTTGTTAGGGAAAATCTATGCTCTGGGCAATCTTTGTCTTCATCTTCTAATTTAAAACATCATTTAACTAGTTTTCCTTTTGGGAAAACTTTCTTTGGAAACAAGAAAATCTTTGTTCATTTCAATAAAAATAATTTCATAATTAGAACCCTTGGGTATGGAGGTGCACACTTGTAATCCTGGCACTTGGGAGGCTGAGGCAGGAGGATCAGGAGTTGGAGTCAGCCTGAGCTACATAAGGAGTTTAAGGCCAGCCTGGACTAGACAGCAAGACCTTGTTTCAAAAAAAAACAGCCTTGGAAATCCACAGACAGCACCCGGAAAAGACAATGCAGTAGGGCCAGGAATTTAGCTCAGTGGTTCCTCTATCTGCCTCACAAGTGCAAGGACCTGAGTTTGATCCCTGGTACCAAAAAATCAAAAAATAAACAAAAAAACAGTGCAGTCAAGATTAAGACATCATATCTATTCCATGTAAGTTAACACTTGGCCGGCTTTCAAGAGATCGATACGGCATTTCATTTGAGAGAGGACTATTAATCTATGTAGGTTATAAGATTCAGATTTCACCGGTCTAGTTTTGAGCAGACACAGTTTAGAAGTCAGCATGGCAGGAAGTGCCGGGCGTCCCATGTGCCATCTCCAGCCAGGCTCGGGAGCTGGAGTCCCAGCCGCAGCTGGGTGCGAGCTTTTCTGGAACTGCTCCTCGAGGGGCCAGTCTGCAAGCTGCCCAGCCACCTGTGGCACTCACGGATCTGGTCTGGCGTGGAGATTTTCAAGCTACAACCAAACGAACCCAGCAGAGAACTGCCAGAGCTGGTGATGTCTATGGCACAGGTCGGCCACTGCTACTCGGACATCTAAGCAACTTGCTTGTCTCAAGAGCTAAAGGGTTTTCTCTCCAACAGCCACGCTGTCTGAGAGCCAGATCTGCAAATCACATTTTGCAAAGCTTTGATGTTGCTGAGAAATAAGAATCTCATCGGTCCATCAAGTTTGCTGGAGGTTTTTCTTCTGCATTGCCATGATAGGCTTCTGCGAAAGACTTTACATTTTGTGGCTGATATTAAGAAAATAAATGCAAAACACAAGAACAATAAAGTGAGCATAGTACTACAGAATTTCATGTATGCCGTGCTGAGGGCAGCAATGCAACTGCAGCTAAGATGTCTCTGGACGTGATGGTTAAGTTCCACAGAAGGAACATCTGGGAAACCACAGTGCTCAAGAAGCAAAAGAAGAAAGAGCCAGAGAGGTGTTTCACTTTTCAGTTACTCACTTGATCCATGAACCCCGAGATTTTGCACAACAAACCTCATCTCCAGACTGGTGGGAACCCATGAGCTTTTTTGCTTCCATTTCTGCTCTTTCTCCGAAGGTTTCTG